TTTTTTACTTTTTAACACTAAATCCATTATATCACTGTGAACATATATAAGGCATGAATAATGATCCATTGATAATTCCTTGCTGACCAGACTTTTCATTTAACAATATTTGATAGGATAAAAGTCAGCATTTGAATTTTCTGATAAAAACCTGAATAAAAACCTGTAAAAATCAAAAACTGAATAATCTAGAACAAAATGCTATCTACTTAACTTACTTTGTTACCTTCTTTGCCCAAAAAAATACAATTTCATCTGTACTGTATGTGTCACAGACAGTTAAAAAGTTGACAGTTAAAAGTCATTTAGACTTTTGAAATAACTCTGAAGCTTTTACTTTGAAGATATTCTAAAACAGAAACGTACTTAAAGAAAATAATCATATGAATACTAATTATTTCCTTCCTAAATTAAATAGTGTTTCTATTTAAATTGTAGGCTGTGGTTATATGATTGTAAATTAAACTGTAGATTATTGTGGATTATTTTCTCCAGACAAAAATGATAGAAAGAAAGAGGATAATATCTCCTGAAAGTAGAGAGAGTAGAATTTTTTACAAATTGTTTACCGTCAACAAATACACACAGCATCTATGGTTTTACATATTCTCTGCATCTACTTCAATAGTGGCATTTTGACAGCCTTCTTAAACCACCATCTTTGAAATCTATCAAATCATTTCTCTTTACAAACTTGTGCATATTCACAATTATCTCGTGCTTCATCCGACAGCTCTAAAATTTCAACTCTGCAGTGATGCCCTTCTGCTTCTGTGTATCGCTCCATTTGCTCTATCAGCTGTACAACCCTGACATCAGCGTAGTTCACTTCCTGATAAGCTACTTCCACTGTAAAAAAGTGAGACACAAGCAGCAGTTAAATAACCTAGGTATATATATTAACAGCAAGATATTTTTTAAATGTAAACTTAAAAATATATATTGCAAAAAGTGAAATTACCCTTATTGTGTTTTTTCCCCAGGGCACAGATGACTGATATAGCTATAGCTAAAACAAGTAGAAGTCCTGCGAGTCCAGCAATCAGAACGATCAACAATTTAGCTTCAAAAGGAAACCCGTGGTTTTATGTAAAAGAGAGGAAGAGGATTTCAAAGCAATATTCTTCTGTTTTTTCAGTATATAAATGCAGTAATATTATTTAAAGCATAAATTAGCAATTTGGTTAAAAGTACTGTGTTTATTTTCGGCTCACCCACAATACCTTGTGAAGATGTTTCCTCTGGTTCAACAGAGCTGTCCTTAAATTGCTCCTCAAATGATACTGGTAGAAGACAAACATGTAAATGGGTATGTGAACAGAATCATCAATTATACACTTAAAAAAACATTCACTACTCTGTAACAAACTGAAAAGCTGGGTCGAGGGAAACATGCACCTGGAACATTTAATAACACTTAATTTACAGTAATGCACAGAAGATAAAAAGAAAAGACGTGTACTTGTTCTGTACATCATAAATTGAATGTTGTAATTCAAATGACAACATTAACTCAATTCAATAATGGAAACATTTTACCTCGAACAGACAACTGCAGAGTCCTTTGACCGCTGTTGACACCAGCTGAATTGAAGATTTCCAGAGTATAATTGCCACCATCTGTCCAGCTCAGGTTATTGATCCTGATTGTTCGTTTACTTAGGAATAAAACAGTCCTATTTTCCATTGTTTTACTTACAATCTTATTCTGTCTGCTATTATAAATCTGTTCTAAACCTTTTTTCCAGTTGTATATGGGTATATCTGAAGAGTTGCTCATAAGCTGGATAGACAGAGTTCCTCCTAGAACCCCATCACACCGAGCTCCATCCTGTCTGCCATCACAGTAAGTTTCCACTCCTGCAAAAGATATAATAGCAAAGGTTATTTTCTGGTATTCCTTCAGACATTCCTGTTTGTTTTTTTTCTATGCACATTTTCTTTTAGAAGCATAGCACGGTTAAATAGTATTTCTACATAAATACATCAGTTTTGTTTCTTTATCAATGAAAAAAATGAAAATTAACTACTGGTAATTATTTTCATTTAGAACTGGTTTCCTCAAATAAAGCAACACATTCTTTAAACTTTTATGGAGTGTGATTTAATACATTTCAAATTGAAATTCGATGAAGTTAAGATAAAGACTTAACTGCCAGTTTTGCACACACAAAAAAAAAGATGGCAATCATTTAGAATAGGTTTTCTCTACAGGCTTTAAACATAAATTATGACATACAGTAGCAGAAACAAAAAAATGTGCATTTTTTTTTTGCAATCTGCAAATTGTTATGAAATAAATGTCAGCTCACCTTGTGATTCACCAAGTAGCACCACCAACAATCCAAAAACTTCTATGACTTTAGAGCAGCTAATCAGCATCATTGTGTAACACTGCATATTTGAAATGTATCTGGATTTGATCAGTTTGAGAAAAAGAAGCTGCTGCATATAAAAAAAGGGAAGTGATAAAACTAACCAAAACCAGGACTTCTTTTTTTTTTTTACATTATCAGTAAGTAACACATCCATGTGATGTTTGATGACATTACATCTTAAACTTTCTTCACCACATAAAATGTGATAAGTAAACCAGATAGCAAGGAAACAGGTTTTCATTCTGGATAGTCTTTTCTTCCACTATGAAGGCATTTAGGTGTTTTACTTTTCTTGCAGAGCATAAAGTGATCACTTTGAAACTTTTTTAAAAATCCAACATGCATATATTTTGACCCACATATGTGTACTTTGATCCAACATACATGTTTTTGGACTGGAAGGAAAGCAAATTAGCAATAAAAGTTTCAGGCATGCACAGGATGAACATATAAGCTCTACACACAAAACTCAGTTTATCTGAAATCGAAATGGAAACTTTGTGGTGAGGCGGACTCATGTGAGTCGGTAAAACTGGTCAATTGAAGCTCACACCAAACTAACTTTATTTGAAGGAAAGGGAAGAAAAAAGGTATTAACAAACTATTGCAGTTTGTAAATTATACAGTATTCAAAACACTGCATGATAAAATGTGTCCTTTAAGCAGTGCCCCTTTTTGTGGTTTAGCTGCACAGCACCAGAGAGAGACCTGATCGTAGAACAGGGTAATGCCGGAAACTCTCTTCAGCAGAAACACACAGATCTGCTCATTGCTTAAATCACTAAAGGTCATGTTTGGGGACAGGCTGAAGGTTTTTACTGAAGCTAAGAATACTGATTAGGATCCTTAATAATTTTCCACTTCAATTTATTCAATAACTGTGAAGTATATTAAAACTCTTGGTGGGAACAAATCAACAGCTAAATGTATTGTTGCTTTCTGCATACCTTAAAATGGAGAAGGAAATCTTGCAGTTTTACACAAAATGGAAATCACATCTGACTTTTTGAAAAGACAATTAGGAGAAATATATTGATACAATTACTTGGTCTTTGGCGCTCAGACCTCGGCAGGGAGAACCTGAGAGAACCTGTCCATGATGAGCAAGCATGCAGCAACAGTGGAAAGGAAAAACTCCCCGTTGGATAGAAACCTCTGGCAGAACCAGGCTCAACATAGCGGTCTTCTGCCGGTGTGGTTGAGATAAGACAGGGAATGCAGTAAGCGTCCGGAAGGAATGACTCTCTGATGAAGCTTTAGCGACGATGGCTGAGGAGGGGCTGGAGTTTTAATACTGGCCTTCCGCCTAGACTCCATTTGAAAGAACAATCCTGGGCCCCCTCCCAAGTCTGTTATCTTGTCTGTACTAATTTTAAATGATACTTTAGAAAACCAGTCCTTACTTTTAATAAGTAATTTCTATAGTAACACTTAGAATTGCTAGTGCAACTATTGGAGACAAAGCAGGTAAAACCTGCACAACAATGTAAATTACATAATGATATGTATAAATTGAAAACAATGGGAATCTCTCTGAGACTTTTTCACACCTACTAGTGTATCCATCAAACTGGCTACATAAGGCTGTACTGTGGAAATAATAGAAAAAAGTTAAAGGCATAGTGGAGGGTGTTCTATTTCTGGGTGGAACGTCAAAATAATAGTCAATCATTCTGGTGGTATTTTTACATAAATCCTTCCTACATGCTCTTACCAGTGGTGAGTCTGACATAGTGGAAAAATTGCCAATATTATTTTGGACAGTATGAGCGATGCAAACAGCAACTTTTAAACAAAGTGTTAACGAGGAGAAATGGGCTTGTGCATGCACACGTTTAATAGGCGTTTAATAGGCGTTTAATAGGCATTAATAGTCGTTCTCTCTCATGAGCGGGTACAGGGTCGTGGATGTGCATTTCTTTTTTTTTTAAGTGGAGACGGCGGGTCTTTTCAAAAATTCACTTTATTCACTATACCATTAATCCTCTAACCCCGCGAATCAGATTGAATTAAGGATAGCACCAAGGGTAGTTTAGAGCTTTGATTTAAATATAGATTGTTTTTTCCTTTATTCGACTTAGGTCATCTTGCTGAAAAAAATCTAAGTTTAACACATTGCAGATGGAACATCCATCCATCCTTTTTCTGTTATGCTTATACTTGGTGGGGTCACAAGGGATGCTGATGTGTCTCTAGCTGTCAGTGGGTAAGAGGCGGGGTACACCCTGGACAGGTTGCCAGTCCATCGCAGGGCAACAAAGACAAACAATCTTTCACGCACACACTCACAACTAAGGAGAATTTAGAGAAACCAATTAGCCTAACAGTCATGTTTTTGGACAGTAACAGGAAGCCAGAGTACCCAGACCCCGGGCCAGGAATAGAACCAGGAACCTTCTTGCTGCAGGGTAGCAGTGCTGCCCACTGTTCCAATGAGCAGCCGGGATATATCAAAGTTAAATGTATAGTGAAACAAACACTGCCTCTTTATGAAAAAAGCTTATATCTTGTCTTGTTCAACCAGAAGTTCTAGGTCTATCATAAATGTAGGTTTTATTTGCAGAATACAAAACTTCAAGCTTGCCTGTATAACAAAACAAACAAAACACAATATGAAGGAATGTCTTGAAAAAATCTTTCAGATGTTCAACACTGTTAATTAAACAATTAAACAACAAAATAAACCAACCTAATCCTTTTGAAAGAGATGCACTCTCAACCAGAAAAAGTGATTTTTTTTAAAGGTTCAAAGTGACTGTTAAGTGTAATATGCAAAAATATTAACAGTATCAAAAAACAGTGTGGATTTAAAAAGTAAACAATTTTCTTTTTGTGTTAAAATGTGTGTTGGTGTTGGGTTTTAGTAAAATTGTAGCAGACATCCAGAGTGTAAAAGTGGCTATGTATTTGTCATGTAGGCTCTTTGTTCAAACCAAAAAAACCACAGAACCATGCTCACCTCCTCCATTATTTGCAGTACGTCATTTGGGGGAAGGTTGCTAACATTCGCCCACCTTGCTTTAAGCGTGACTATCTCTACCAACCAAATATATATATATATATATGTGTGTGTGTGTGTGTGTGTGTGTGTGTGTGTGTGTGTGTGTGTGTGTGTGTGTGT